TGAATTGAATAGATGCCACTGTGTCAAAGTAACTGAGGATGGAACAGAAAAATAGATTGTTTTCTTTTCTTTTGTACTTTAGAAACTTTGAAAATATGCTGCGATCGACCAAAAACTGCAGAAAACCACAAATCATCAAGTGGAATGAATCAACATCTGCAAAGTTACAGAGGTTGTAGTACAGACATAACAAGACGTTTTGTAATTTGGCACCAGAAAATGTCGATGTCCGATGGGAAACTGCTCTTGAAGCACTCTGGGGCTTTGAGTTGTTCAGTTTTATCGCTGTTAAGTTTTGGAAGATAGAATGTGTTTGTGTTTACATCGTTACCTGCCTTATAATTGTTTTTTGTTCTGTGTTTTGCAGTTGGAGAAATGATTTTTGTGAGTTTTGAGCTGAGATTCTGATGTTTGTGTGGATACCACAGATGTCTGTGTTTAAACAACAGACCAAACAACAGATGTTTGGTTCACCAGGTTGCGGGAACAGGGGAGGTTGTCAAACGTTATCTTTATGGAGGAAAGAATTAAAGACACTTTTATGTAACTAACTTTCACCACCAGGGGGCATTTCCTCTAAAGACGTCGTCTTTTTAAATCGTAAGGTGTCGTTAATGACTTGTATGACTGACTCACTGCATCATTTTGTGGTAAAATTGGTGTTAGAAGAATTACTTCAGCTTCTGCTCTTCAACACGATGACTCTGTGTTATGGACAAAAATTCATAGCAGTTTATTTTGATGATTTAAAACACTCAACATAAGCACCTCTGGGACTCTGGGAGTTGACCTCCTCTTGTTTGCTTGTATCATGAAGGATATGAAGTTCTTCAGCTACTGTAAAGCTGTTTTGCTGCTGAGCAGCAACAACAAGCCCTAAAAGTGTGACGTTTAAAAGTAATTAGACACCGCTGAGGCTCCGCTGAGGCCGGCCGGCTGGTTTCAAACAGGCTTTTGACCAAACTGCTGTAATTTGCTGAGCTCTCTGTGTCGGTGCTTTTCTGCAGACGTCTCAAACAAACTCATTAAACTGATAATTAGGCAACAGAGCAAACAAAGGAGCTCTGTTTTGCTCAGCTGCGCCACAAAACCGAACGGAGACATTAAACGAAACGTCTCCGTTTGCAGCCGGCGCCGTAAGGGAAAATTTAATTAACACGGCTCTCACCTAAAGACGGCGAGCACCTTCCAGCCCCCGATTCGGCTAACTGCTCTTCTCTTCTGTCAGTCTAAATACCACACATAAATAATGCAAAGGCTTTCACATCTAAACCTTGGGCTCGGTTTCCTGTTCGGATGAAGCCCCAACAATGGAGACAGACAGAACAGGAAGCGGCATGAAGGGGAAAACTTCGGGTTCACCTTCAGAAGAAACAGAAGGAGGAACGGGGCTGACATTTGCTGGCGGCTTAGAAGCTAATAATAATTAGAGTCTTTCACGGGATGTGTTACACGACGATTTCCTCTGTGAGAGGAGAAGTGAAACGAGCTATTAAAGTGCCAACATCAACCACTGATTTGACCTGCTTTGATTTATGACCTTATTTTTTGTGTGTGTCAAAAACGTTGTTGTGGCTTTAATCTGGAGGAGTGTGGGTTAGTCTGTGATGGGAAACATACAAAGTATGAATAAAGCAGAGTCAACAATAAAATCCTGGTTGCTGCTAAGAGAGTATCCGCCTGAGATTAAAAGTAAAATGAAGCTCAAAGTGAGAAGAGCAGAAGCTTTTTATTGCATGCAGCTTACAGCGTGTGAAGGGAAGTTCTGTCCAGCCAACATCTGCAACATCTGCAGCTTCAAAAGCTGCTGGCATGCATGATGAAGGCACACCAACTGCTTCCTCTTTTCCTATCTATGCAAAACAGGCTGTGCATCACCTGACATGCTAATGCTTGCAAGTGGAAGCAAAGTTCTCTGAGAAACGCTGTTTTGGTTTCTGATGCTGTAACGGATTCATTTAAAGGAAATCTGTACACATTCATCTTTTACATAATGCACCAATTGGCTTCACTAAGGTTACAGTTCACAATGTCTTCATCAGCACATTTCTGCATGCTCTCCTCCTCCGTTCCCTTCATGTAGAAAAAAGGCTTCAAGTGTGTGTTTCTGTGTTTCCGTCTTACCGAGTTGGTTCCCAGCACCTGCAGGTCTGGCTCTCTAGACTCCAGCAGCTTGGCCACCATGTGCAGGAAACTCTCCACGAAGGGTTTGATGCTCTGAGAGTGGCACGCCATCAGCAGCTGGTCCAGAGCCTCCATGGCTATCACCACATTCCTGCACACAGCGATACGCAAGTTTACAGAAACACTACTCCAGATGTATGTCATAGGGGGAGAGGTCTAAGCAGACCTCGCCTAACCCACTACCTCCTAATGTGCTAACCGAACAGTTTTTGAGGCTCTTCTCTATTTAAAAACAGAAGCAGCAAAGGGTGGAGACGAGAGATTGGTTCTGAACAGAGGACGGTGCAGCAGATGTGTTTCGATCAAAATACACAAAAAGAGTGGGTCACTGTCGAGTTGAAAGTGGGCGCTGTCTGTGCACTGAGCACATTATTGCATGATGTAACTTTACAGCAGCTCCACCTGGAAGGAGAAGGCTGACGTAACAGACCC